CCACAACTCTCCCATATTATTATCTCTTTTCAAGTAAACACAATTTCCGTAGAAATTGGCATAGGCCTTAGATACCTTTCTTTTCTTCTTAATATTTTCTTTATCAGTTTATACCCTCTCCCAACCCAGGTTCTCGTTTGTAAGCTAATTTAACGATTAGTGAACAAACTTGTAACAATAATCAAATCTCTCTATAATTATTACCCTTGGAAAAGCAAAATTTGATGACTATAAAGAGAATGTGACTATAGAGAGATTTTTTTTACTATATTTATGTATAAATGAAAAAGTAAAATAAGATAACTATAGAGAGGTGTGATTATAAATGAATGTGATTATAGAGGTGTTTAACTATAATAGAATAATAATGATAATAAAACAAAACTGTAAAACTCACAAAAAGAAAATCATTATCCAAGATAATAGCAAATGGAGCCCAAAATCATTATGCACTATAGCAATAGCATACAAAGTAATATATTGGCTGTGACAAAAGCTATATCATGTGATGTAAAGAATTTAAAAATTTGCAAGTTATTATTATGCATATGCATATCAAGTGATACAGTGAATACCGATACATGCTAAACATGCTAAATAAGGCAATGCAGATCATAAAAATGAATCTAATCAAAATGGATTGGGGAGCACATAGCGATAGATGCACTCCACCAAGTGTAGAATGGCTGTTTCGTAGTACATGTATTTTCAAATAAGAAATATGCGATTCAATGCGTGAGTTTGTAGTTATCAGTTGATTCTTCTGGACATCTTTGATAAACTCCTTATTTATTTCTTCGCGTCATTTAGATACTCTTTAAACTAGTCAAATCGCTGTTTTTCACTTCTGCTCTATAAATTTCACCAAATGCGCCATATCTAATGACTCTTCTGTCGAAAAATTCGCTAAAATCGAAGTTTTATTTGATTTTCCTTTATTTTCGTTAAATGAAGATATCGGCCTTTTTGCATTTGCAAATTTCATCTTTAATTGGTAATCAGAGAAAAACTTTCTCTGGCGTCAAAAAAATGTTCGCCAGTGAAAATTCAGCTGTAGTTTTCAAATCAGCTGTTTCACCAAGCTTCGGGAAAACATTCAGATTTTATTGTTGAAACGTAATTTGAATCTTCAATAAGGCTGCAGACTCCGGAAAAGTCAATTTCTTGTGCGATTAAAAAGAAGCCAATAAAATACTTAATCGTAATGTGCAAATCTTTATATATTAGTATTTTTATTTAAATCCCATCTTTCTCGCTACTCTTTGATAAACGTCCTTATGTGACAAAAAAATCACCGCAGAATTATGATAACTAGCTGGCTCAACCTGGTCTTTAGCTTCCTCGCAAAAATCATCACGGAACACTTCATATTCACCTACACGCCCAGAATTTCGACATCTTACTAATTTCCGGGGCTCGTGCCTCATCGTGGTTTCCCACGCGTACACATGTGCATATTATACATACATCCGAGTGTTGATATCGAGTTCTTCGTTGGTGTTCGTGTCAACAAGTGGTGATATTAGTAGTAGGGATGCTGGCGGAAGTTGATAAATATTTTTTAGTAATTGACTAACTATTTTGAAGTGATGCTACCGTTAAGATTTGTGCTGGATATGGATGTTCTAGAAAAAATAGATGAATTTATGAGAAACAGAAACTAATACTCAATTTTCGTAATAAAAAGTTCATTACTTAAGATAATCCAGAAATGCGAGTATTCTTGCTAACTTTTCTTTAGCTCAACATCATCATAATCAGCGTCATTTTCAGTTGCTGAAACAGCCATTTCGGCACCCACTTGAGAGAAGTTCCATTGGTCTTCTTCGTAAAGTATGTAAAGATTTCTTGTTTCTTCGTTTGCATGGCTAAAATAATAAAATTCATTTAATAATAATTGAAATAAATGAACTATTATTGCATACCTAAATTTACAGATGTTTTTACATCCTCGAGAATATTTTGTTTTGCATCAAGGAAACTAGGATCGCTGAAATGGGGTGGGTGATTCACGAAAACCTTTTTTCCTCTTCGCGTTATCACTCTGGTTCTCTTTTGAATTAATCAGCAGCAAATCTATAAAAACATGTTGAAATTAAACAAAAAAAAATACAAGACTAAATCTATTAAGATTGAAAATGCGGAAGCCCTGAAATTTATGGATTTTTGACTCGTCCATTTTTCCTTTTTGTGCCTCAACATACTTCCGAACCACCAACTTTAAGTTAATAAATAAGTAACTCTGAAAGAAGTGTTTCATTATATAGCATTAATCGTAAGTTTATTTTGCATCAAAGTTTTTTTTTTACATACATAAACCAGGTCTCACGCTAATATGTATTGTTGGGATCAGAAAAGCGTACAAATATGCCATACTTTGAAAAATGGTTTGGCATTGGTCCACATTTCTCTGTTTGATCCGACAATATGTATTACCGTAAATCCCCCCAAAATATCCTAAGCAAAACAGCAGAAAAGAATTCAAGGATAAAAATAAAAATCCAATTAACCGAGTCCAATAAAATATTTCTAATATGTTGTTATTATCCTGAATTCTCAATTAACTTCCATTTATCAGGTTCGATCATTTTTAGCACGCCATGATCAGCCCAAAATGGCATCTTCTTTCGCAACTTTGCGGGATCCATGTGCATTTTATCAGCGAGTGCATCAAGCCACCAAACCTCTATTCATTCAAAATGTAAAGTGTTATTACTAAAATATTTTAGTAGCAAGAATTGGATCATAAATACCTTGCGATTGGAAATGATAGATTATTGTTGCATATATTGGTGATACCGTGAATTCTAGTGTCCTATCTTCTAATTCGATTTCCAAATCAACGGTTCCAAGATTAGGAAACCACTCTAATTTCCTTCGCTGCTTGTGCATTGTATAAGTTCCCTCGAATTTATAAATCATACTTTAATTGAAAATCAAGGTTTCTATTAATCTTGTACATGGTAATAAAAGATCGAAAAGGAATAAAAAACCGTAAAAAATAATACTCTTGAATAGGCTCCGGAGGTAAAAGTTCTTCATGTTTTGGCGGTGGCCAAAACAATTTGGAAATAATATGAGCATGAAGTGGAGCCTAAATGATGACAATTCAAGGATATAATAATGCAATATTAATAAAAATAACGTTTATATAAACTGAAAACAATTCTATAACTTGCTAACTTCTTCCTTCTGATTCCCATCATCATCGTCATTTCCGTTAAGCATTCGCGGAGCAAGGTATCCAGACGTATGCACTAGATTATCCATCCGCTTCGAATCAGCAATATCTTTTATCATAACTTCTGTATGAGCCATCTTGGATTCTTGGAATCGAAGCTTGAATAGCTCGAGTTTTGCTACCTAAAAGATGTGCAATGGTTGATTATTCTTTCTTTAACTGTACGAATCACTTTTTGTTTTCACCTCTTTGGTCGTGTCGTAGTCGGTAATAGATAATAAACGAGGAGCCATTTGCTTTTGAATCTCTTCAATTATCTCATCCGTGTTATCAAATATATTTATTAGGATATTTGTAATATCGGCTGATCGATGTATTGTGGACTTGTAATCTATCAATTAAAAACAAAAACGATAGCCACTCAATATACCATGTGATAACGAGGAATGATGAATATTTAAAGAATAAGATTGCACATACTTGGACCCGCATCTATCGGATCGGGAACCCAATTCATCCAATTATCATTGTCAAATTCCGAATTTTCTTCTTCATCTTCGGAAACGGGGATCGTTGCTCTGCCTAGTTCTTCAATCAATTCGCTATTTGGGTTTTTGTCGTCCATCCAACACGAGACTAGACATCGCACTGTGTCATTTCGAGACCTGAATTAAATGTAAAGAAGGTATATTCAAATCGTGAGCGAAGCATTAAAAGTGTATATATATAAAATATATATATATGAAAATGCTAATAGCAACAACCTCAAATAAGAGCGAATCGAGCTTGTGACTTTTTCCAAGAGCACTCCAGGCGGATCCAGTATTCGAAGACATTTTATTGTTGAAATATACGTTTTTAAGATATCCGTGGTGGTCGCTCCAGGAATAAGCAATCGTTTTTTAAATCTATAAAAAAATAATAGAAAAAAGGAAAGGATCATCTCCAATTAACTAATTGTTTATGATGTCCCGATAAATCAAATAGTATATCGACTAAATAAAAATACCCGATATAACAACATACGATGTATGTAGCGACTGCACGAGACGATGTCGGTGATCTTGTTCCAATTTTTTCATACATAACTATCAGGTCACAAAATACGAATAAGTATAACAAATAAATAAACTTCACGCGGTTTTTTTACTGGGTATGATACACTTACTAATAAGTCATCAATTGCAGGTTTAGATTCTGGAAAATCAACAATCAATTCAAACAATTCTTTTATTCTGCAAAAAAGAAATCTTATAAGCTGATCTCGTAAAAAGCAAACGACAATTTTAAACATGAAAAAAATTTACCTAAGATCACAGAATACCATGCAAAAGTGATAATTTAAACGATGAGACCACATTGCCATTTTTTCTAATTATTATGAAAGGTATCAGAAAATTTGCTGGAAAAGAAATGTTCGATAATGATTTAGAAAAAACTATTTACCGCTCGAGGTATCACTGAATGCCATTGACTCGGGCGGCATGACAATCTGCAGCCAGCGATACAACGAAGAGTAAAGCCACCTAGTAGATCTACGCAATTGAGGCTTATAATAATTCTTTTTACAAGTTTTTTCAATCCGTAGCTCTATCTGTTCACAGAGCATCTCTTCGAGGATATCCTTTGTCCGATAAAGCAAATCAAGTGAATCTAATTCACTACATAAATTGGAGAAGGCACGAAGTTGTGCACTTGCGGAAACTGATGATTCCTCCTCTTCTGCGTCGGCATTCGATAATTCTTCGTCCTCCTCACCCTCTTCTCTCTCTGTGTCACCTTCTTCTAGCATTGGTTTATCGATGGCTATTGGGTCTGTATCTTCTGTAATAATATTGTTGATCGTATTATCGTCTTTTGATTCAACGCGGTTTTCTTGCGCTAGGTATATCGAGTTTAAATCATCGTTGGATTTCCACGTGAATAGCTCGTTCTCATTGAGACCATTATGTTTGATTGACACCGGGAGAAATGTTTCCAGGAGATTATGATTTTGTTTTCGGAGTTTTTCAAATTTCTTATAATTGGTTCGATAGACGATCTTTGTCATTTCTTTGAAAGACGACGGAACAGTCGAATAAAGTTGTGACTTGTCTTGCAACGAAGAATACAGCATTGTGTGATATCTTAGTTGGTACAAGAGCATGGTTTCGGTGCTGTGGAAAAAAATCACAATACAATAAATACGGATAATTTCCGTGCATGTGTGCTCATTTTGATGCTAATAAAAAACAGGCAACACAATCCAACAAAAAAAAGAAATCACCATAACCAAATTAAAGATCATATGCAAACCTATCATACATAATTAAAAACGGGATTTCATATCTTTTAAAATGGGTGTGAATTTCATGAATTATTTGCGCGTACGACTTGCAGACCCATTCTGTTAAAGGTTCTTCTTCGACTTCTTGATTCCAATTCTTTTTTCAATATATTAATTAATTGATTAAACCATGAACAAATAATAATGAAAAAAAGATTATTTACCATAAATCTATAACGCCATTCTTGTAGTTTGTTTTTGAATGTCATAGAAAAATCATCACATACAGCATCTAATAAAAAATCATTAATAATAATAACTCATAAAAGCTACCAAACAATACGCGAGATATTAATTCGTTCATTACCCAAGTACCATTCAATCAATCGTTGCGCCAAAGGTGTATCGCGTATCAAGTTCATACTATCGCTTACTTCTTGTGGAACTATCTCATTTAACAATTAATGGAATCCATCAATTCATTCTTATTGATATAGCTTAAGTATATACAAACTGTTAGTACAAACCATCAAGTTTAATTTCTGAAAATTGTGCAGGATCCATCCAACTTTTTACAATGGAATAAGCCTAATTAACAGTATTATTTAAATTTCATTGATTTTGACAGAAAAGACCAAAGGTAGGAGGAACATTTAAGAACCTTTGTCTTTTGACGTAGCCCTTGTAAGGCTGGTGCGTCTCCATTAAGAGTCCTGATAGCAGCTTCCCAGTTCCGCTCGAAATCAACATTGAAGCTTGCATTTGCGAAGATATAGTCTCCTATCTCAGCCATGGTTTCGTGGTTTGTTTTGTACTACCGAATAAAGATTTGAGTCAATAATCTCGAGTGACACTGACATTGTGACTCATTAATATACAAAAAAATCACATTCACTACTAGCACCAGATTCCTTCATGGCATCACTCACTGCCATTCTTCCTAAATCAAGTATCTTCAAAATCGCAATCGATGGACCTGCCGCCTCTGGGAAAAGTATGAGAATTCTCAAATTATATATAAAAATATATAAATGTTTGACAGTATTTCAAAAAATTGATAAAAATAAAGGTACAACAGCAAGACACGTCGCGCATCGATTAGGATTCACGTATATTGATTCGGGTAAGAAATTAAACTTCCGATGAAATTATGTCTAAGAGATTCTGATTAACGTGAATAGATTTTCTTATTTGAAAAGGGGCCATGTATCGAGCGGTATAAACACTCCAACTAGTCTTACAAAGATCATGTCTTTTTTTCGTATTCAAATATGCGTATCTTATGTATAGATAACATTGAAAGCACTTCGCCGAAATATACAATTCGAATCTCCTAGTGAAATGCCACACATCATCAATCTAGCAAATACTTCAAAAATTCACTTCGCCACCACCACACCAATTGGAGGCTCTGGGAATGACAACACGCCACAAACCATCGTCTATTTAGATGACGAAGATGTTTCCGCCGACATCCGAACAATGAACGTTTCACGTAACGTGTCATTCGTCGCCGCTCTCCCCGAGGTACGAAAAGCCATGCTTGCCAAACAAAGGAGATATGCAAACTCCACGGATATTGATGGGGTGGTGATGGATGGACGTGATATTGGTACGGCGGTGCTTCCCGATGCCCAAGTGAAAATATTTCTGACGGCTATTACTAATGTACGAGCGATGCGGCGATACGAACAGTTGAAAAAAAAAGAAAAGGAGTTGGTTGTATACGAAGAAATATTACGTGATATAGAGAAAAGAGATAAAGCAGATTTAGAGAGAAAAGTTTCGCCATTGAGAAAGGCGATTGATGCTGTTGTACTAGACACAACAACTTTGAGCTTGAGTGAAATTGTTGGCAAAATTATAGAAATGACTAATAATATGAAAAGTGATGCTGTACAATTATCAGGAATTAATTCGTCATTGAATGAATCAACAATCCAGACGCAAATATAGACAATGAAGTTAAAAGAAAGAGGTTGCAAATAGTTAAGTGATTTTAATATTACTTTTTAAATAACGTAACCTCCACACCACCAAATAAAGACATTTAGTTATTACATTATTTATCGTAGAATCATCTAAACACAACAAATACATTAAGTACTCCTCCCAAATCAAATAATATTGTTCTCAATTACTCTAAATAAAAAGCATTTTACTTCACTCGCCAAAACACCCTAACCAAGATTACTATGTCAGATAGTGTTAAAAAATGGTACATTAATATATAAAAAGACTCATAAGTAATGATTCTGTGCATACACACAATGCTTTAATATCCACCCGCACCCGGCGCCTTTTCATCTTTTTTCAAATCCAAAAGTAATTCTTTAAATCGGCTGACGTCTTTTTCGTGTTTATTATTTGATTTACTTTGAGTATTAACAAGATTCAGAATCTTGCAAATCCGTTCCCATGAGGTACCAGAAGTGATGTCATCTCTTTCCTGTATAAATAATTCTTCTTCTTTCCTAAGAATACAAAATTCATTCAATTCTTTGGATTTCACTGATTGCAGAATAAATATCCCCACCAATAATTTACCTGTTATGTTGTTGAGCAATAGCTTTTTTCTCGTTGTATTCACTATAGAATTTGTCGATTTCATCATGGGCTTGTTTTACGGTCTCTTGTTTTTTTTGTTCAGAAGCATCATCACGTTCTGCAATTAACTCTTGTTGTCTCTCTCTCCATTCTCTGTATATGTATGTGTTTTTTTATTTATACACATAGATCAGCAATTGACTCTTTTTCCTTTTATAAACAAAAAAACGCACACACCTCAATACTTCGTTCTCTTGTTCTTCCTCGATTGTCACCTGACTTAATCCCGATGTTCCATCAAAAGATGGCTAATAAAAGAAAGAAAAGGATTGAATATCAGTTTCGCAATAAAAGAATTTACATGAATCAATAAACACGCACTGGAATGGTGGGGATACTCGAAGTAGCTAGTTCAACAGGTGGAAACTCATTATGAAACGCAGAATAGTCAGGTGTAGGAGACGTGAAGGACGTTGTAACAGGTAATGTTGCAGGGCTTATAGTTGCTACTGTAGAAATCTCTGGGAAACCTTCAAGTTCCGTCACTACAGTTGACGAGTTGGTTGAAGTTGGAGCCGCCGCAAAGATTGCAGCATCTTCACCAAGTAACGCCTGCTCGCGTGCAAGAAAGTCGGCTGTTGGATCCGATGATAAATTTACGTTAGAATTAGAATTAGTAGTGAAGCCATCAAGCACAGGAAAATCTGTCATGTTGATTTGTTGAGTATTTGTAAATTTATTTTCGAAATGATAAATATGATAAATATATATAAATCATGGGAAGTTTATCCAATCCCTACGTTGATCATTAGCTATTCACTGGTCAAGAAAATAGATCTTTTAAAGATTTAAAATTAATAAATGTTCATAATTCGGAATGATCAACACTATAATTTGGTTGATCTTTTATAATCTTGACCAAAATTAAGCATAATTTAAGAAATTCTTTGATCTTCAACCAAAAATTAATGATAGATTTCATACTTTAATATAAAATTTTTCAGCCTTCAGCCAATAAAATACTAGATTTCTGATGACGTAATATAGAGTTTTCTTTTTCAGATTGGAATTTAGATGCATGAAATTTAGATTCCATTTCCAAATGCTAATGCTCAAGTATTAATAAATAATAAAGATTCCAATTATTACATCAATATCCTCTTCTTCCTCTTGATTTGTTACTAGCAAATTAATTGATTTTTGTATTGTTTTCAGAAACATTAAGCGACACCAAGTAAATTTATTGGTTTTCATATCATAATATAGTTCGCCGACCCGGGTTAACCAAGAAATTTCTTTCTTATCTAATATTTGATATAAAAATAAGTATTTTATATATATATACTCTAATCCATCGAATTGTAGACAAGGAGTGAGCCAATTCTAACGAGCCGGGCTGCAAAGTTTTGTCGGTAGGTGCTTATGTCACAGTTGATCAAGTACTTTACCGAATCGCTCATTTAATTCTTTATATTCAACCTGATGATACGAATAAAGTTTCGAGCCTGTGAGAAAATAGATGGATCAAGTGTTCTGATATTGAGGCCTCTGAGCTTAAGGAGTCGCCTTATTCCTAATCTGTGGTTCTAGTGGTAAATAATAATCACTATATTACTTGATAATTATATATTATTAATTCATTGCGAGAATGAAATGACTCACTTAATTATTATAGAGGACCTACAATAAATACATACATCAAGCGTTATTACCTATTCACGTCATCATGACTATAATCACTAAGAAGGGCCTCCTTTCTTTTTTTTTTTATGCTAAATAATTAGCTAGTAATCGAGAATTCCTGTATCATGGTTATTTTCTGTCGTATCATTTGGCTCCTCTGCGTAGAAAAACAATATGATAAATAAGTTTATTTTGTACGCGCATATATAAAACGATAGCCTGACAATTACCTTTATCAAAATAATTATCCTGAATATCATTAGTCTCCTGATCGGTATTATCAAATTCCTCATTATAATCAATTTGATCATAATCGAATTCCGTCTAATAATCAAATCAGAATCGATTCGATTCTTTGAACGAGCTATTTGAACATTATTAAAAGACCTACGTCATTTCCAGAGATGAACTTTCCGCGCATAATGTCAATAAGTTCCTCTCGTAATTCATTAAGTTCTTCGGTAGATAAATTCTCTATGTTTTTATCAATGTTGGAGTTGGAGTGTCTTTGATTATTATTCATTTCCTCGTTCGTGTCCACTTCCTTGGCTTGTTGTTTGATTATTTCATCATCAGATATTATTGTCTTTTCCTTTTCATCATCAGTTATATGTAATTTTGCAAGATTCGCTACAGTCTTTGCCTCGTTTTCGGCTAATATAAATATTATTTTATTGAGATCTCGACAATACGAACATAGATTGACTTATCAATTAAAGAAAAATCAGCCTACCACTTTTATATTCTTTTTCATTTTCTTCATCTTCGTCATCTTCCTCTTCTTGCATTTGCTCTTCTTGAATCATTTTTTGATATTGCAATCTTTCACGTATATTATTTTGATCTATGAAAATGACAGATTAATACATGGAAAAAATCTGAATGAAAAATAATAGAATTAACATAATAATACCTATATCGTAATATATACGCTCTACGAGGTCAACTTCATCCGAAAAAGGTGGATACCTCTCCTCCTCTGGTATATACTTTCCAATATACTCTTCATACAGTAAAGGTTCACGCATTTCCATGGCCTCATCGCTAAAATAAGAGGTATTCTCTAGGTTATTGAGCAAATACTTGAACCGCCTGTTTATTATTTTTTTATCTTTTCGTTGTGAGGGAGAGAGGTTACGTGAAATTGTTTCCGGTGAATTGTTGTTTTTATCACGCTGTAAATGGTCTAAAAGCCAGTTCACTTCATAATCGCCTGTAAGAAAAATCAACATAACTATTAACTACCTTACTATAAGATTGCGCCTTCGACACTCACGACGTACATACCTCGTAAGGAGTAAAAATTTTGTAATTGTTCTTTTGGTAGAAATCTTCCCCATTTTGTAAGAAACAGCGCGGGATCTTTTTCTAGAATTTCTTGCATTTGACGAAGTTTTTCTTGGTCGTCTAGTTCAATTTCATTTTGTCGTAAGCTCTTGAATTGAACTTCTGAAAGGTGCGTTTTTAGATGTTCGAGCAATATCTCTCTTTTCAACGTTTCCATACAGATTTGGCAGATTTGGATTTATTCGTCATAATCTATTTTATCCCACGATCGATTTTCTCTTCACGTGATTTTATTATCCGATTTTCCAAGCCACAACAATTACCCGAAACATTCCGCACTATTAAAGATTAAGGTTAGGGTTAGCGTTGGAGTAAGATTATGTGTAAATTGTCTTCCCGTCATTTTTTATTAATGCTAAAAGTTAGGTTTTTTGCATTATTCATTTTCTTGTGCGAGTTTGTTTTTCCGGGTTGATCAAAAATTTGCGCATCCTCGTTGGTTTCGAGATTGGAAAGGGAAAATCGATCGTGGATGAGCTGGAGTAGTTTCATAATCTAGTACTCTAGCCATGGTGAAAAAAAAGTGATAGGTCATGTGAGTGTGGTTTATTCAGTATTTGGATACTTCAGAAATCAAGATTATTCTTTAAAAATCGAGATTATTAAACAGGAAGTATACAAACAATACTTTAGAACCAAAATGATATTACAAGCATGTTACAATAATCACAATTAAAATCCATAAGTCACAATAGATAACAAATAAACATTATACAGTTATAATTCCATTTTTATTCAGAAAGTGTTTCTTAATCATGTTATTTTTTCCAGGTCAGTACCAGAAAAATTTATAATTTGTATTATTATTATTTTTATGTTTCTATTAATGATAAAATGAAAGAGATTAAATTTTTATAATGGAAGAGATTAAAAACTATAACTAAAGATAGATAATGTGCATTCATGTTGTGATAAGCTAGAATAATGTCCAATAACTTCTTTTTAACTTTATAATTTCAATAAATTTCAATATAACTTCAATAAGTTATAATATAAGACACTAAATACCAATATAAAATATAACTTGAAATACTTTATAAGTTATTTAACACGAAATAATTTTACTTTTAAGAATTTTATTTAAAAAAGATAGAAACATGTTTTAATTTATTTAAATAGAGAAATCTAAAATTTAAAAAAGATGAAAGCATGTTTTAATTTATTTAATTCTATTAAAATATATTATATTTACATATATATAATTTATTAGATTTGATTTGATTATTATACTATTTATTTTTATTACTTTGATTACTTTGATTATTAATATTACTAATTTTGTGATTACAATTATTAATTGTATTATTTTTATAAATTTTTATTATTTTTTGTCACTTTTTTATTTTGATTGTTAATTTTGTTAATTTGTTTGAATATAATAAAAAAATCAATAATAAATAACTCAAACTCTAATCAATAAAATTAAAATTAATTTTAAAAAAATATAACAAAATATTATCCAATTGAATTTATCATTTTATTATATAATGAATTTTGATTGAATATTTTACTGAATTATTTGTATTTAATATTGTTATTATTGTAATATGTTATATTTATATATTATTTAGCTATTTGTTAACATATTAGAGCAAAAGATCAATTAGGTGAGTATCATATCATTATTATAAAAAGCTCAATATTTATTTATAATAATAATATTTCTTTTATATAATAATAATATTTGACAAAAAATAATAATTATTATAAATCTAATTGATTTTTATTTAAATTGATTTTTTATTATAAATTAAATTTATATTATAATATATACTTAATATAAATTATTTTATTTAGATTTAGCATTGTTACCATTTTATATGAGTTCTTGGGAGAGTTGATGAGTGCTTAATAACATTATAATAAGTTACTTGGCCAGGATAATTATAGTAAAGTTTATTAAGAATGACGGGTAAGAGAGTATAATATAATCAAATCTATATAATGCATCAAGCATTAAATTATGATTATAAACAAATCTAAAGGAAGGTAACAGTGTGTTCATGACATGATCAGCTAGAATGAGACCTGGGATTTTTGATAATAATATTTAATTAAGGATTTTATGTAATAAATATATAATTTCATTATAAGATCATAATTCAATAATAATAAAGTATAATTTTATTATTA